AGTATATATTTATATATTATATCAGAACTGAATTTCTGTCCCCTATATTATAAGAATGGCAGAATACATATTACAACGTAACTTTAATTGTTACTAAGCTAAGAATTCTTCCGATCTAATCCGCATTCATGATATATCAATGTATCTCATCAAATCTATCAATGCTTTATAACAGTACTGGGGCAACACTTTAAAGATTTAATTATTTTACAAGTTGACAGAGGAGAGCTCATTCCCAACAGAAACGTCTATCATTTCCAATCGATTTACATAAAATTCAGACCAATCCGAACCCAACCTAGCCACCTCAATCTTACCTGACCTAACTCAGAGTAATGTAACCTAGCTTAATCCAACTAAACTAAACCAAACCAAAACTGACGTGGCCTATCCTGGTCTAACCTAACTTTACCGAATGTGATCTAACCTAACCTGGTTTAGCCTAATCCTGCCAAATCAAAGTAAAATGAATGTTACCTCGCTTTACCTACTAAAATAATGTTAATTACTCGTTGCATGATAGTGATATTACACGCCCCAAGGTAATAGTGTTTTCTTTTTTCATGAAAAGTGACAAATTTATATTGTCACTTTATATATTATTAAGCAGAACTTATCTGGCATAGGGCATTGGCACTTGCCTGTTGCGTTATGATAATTACCTAAACACAGAGGAAATACAAAACACATGAAGTTATAGTTTAGTGACATAATTTCAACGTGTAGGACGGCATTCAACTGACACAGATTAGTGACATTTGCTTGTTATGTAAAAGGATTACCACTTATAGCAGTGCAGGAGGTCACTTCATATAACGAAGTCAAGCCACTGCAGGAATATTGTATTTGAGGCATAGCTGTATTTGTTTAGGTAAAGAAAAGGATAAATCGACTACAGTGTTTGGCGTTAGTGTCTGGTTAGCTCAGTGTTAGCACACAGACATCCCACTGAATGGCCTGTGCAGGGCTTGAAAGTTTCTACCATTGCCAGAAGTTACCACCCATGCGATCAGTAGGGTTGTGGTTTGCTAACTTTTCACAAAGATCTAAGGTTGACTCAAATCTTACATGGATGAAGTGGCATTAGGTCGTATTCCATGCGGTGTAGTGCACCTTCATATTGTCGCTTATCAGTGACTCTTAAACCTTGCATGGGAATGTTAGTCCAACATGTAGGCATTAGAGTGCCGATGTAGTTTGGTATTTACGTCGACATGAAAATGACACATTTCTACCACATGATTGCACTATTTGCTTTGTATGAGGAATATACAATACAATATAGATCTGTACTTATCTGGCACATGATAGGGTGCATATATTTGTATTGATACATGGTGCTTTACAAAGGCGATTGGTCGTAGCCAGAGATTGGTACTTATGTGTTACATGATTTTCTTTATGTTCAAGTAAATTCAGGATTTCATTACTCAGTGAAGTTTCACTTGTGGTTGGTATTTATCTGCCATTAATAGATTCCCGTCGCGAAACCTTAAACCTGCATTTTTTCGGCAAATTGGTAAATTTTGACAATTTCTGCTGCTAATTAGTCGGCGCTCTCTGCGAATGGTTCACAGAACATAGAGTTATTGTGTGACTAATAAAGTCACCAATGCCCAACGCCCAATGACGTCGGCAAATTTGAAATATTGCACCCCCCCTGCAATGCTGCCTTCCCGACGGCCCTGATTACTTTGGATAACTTAAGTGTTCATGAAATGTCTAGGGCCATATATACTGCCGCAGGATAGTACTTAAATGATTTAGGAGAGTTATTTACTTCGTATGTGCCATATCACTGTTTTCTGTTCTGTGATTAATTTTATACAATAGACTGTTGTAGACTCCTGGAAGGTATTACCACATCGGCCATTTATATTAAACTATATGCAGTGTCACAACAGAGTTACTTTGATGTCATAGCGCAATGGTATTTGTTTTTCTCGGGATGGAAGAGTATTATATTACAGTTCAGCATACAGGTGTGGCAAGTATCTCCTAGGGGAGGAATTTCCAGGAGAATGTACGTGGAAGAATTAGTTTACATGCTGCCGTAGGGTGGTATTTACCTGGCACAGAAAACCAATACTCGCGTGTCACATGATGGTAACATTTCTTGCCATGTTACAGTTGTTTACTTGTCTTTACGTACAACTGTAGAATGGTAATGATGTGACACCAGAGGTACTTAACTGGCGTAACTGAAAGAGGCTGGTAATCGCCGATGAGTCGTACTTATCTGGCACAGGAAATTGGTATTTTTAATACGAGTGTAAATGCATCACAGCAGGGAGGTTCATTGGGTGTTTGTAATGGGATAATAATATTTACTTAGCTTACTTATAAAAGTATAGATATATTTATAACTGAAATACATTTACTGTCAGATTAAGATGGCATAATCAAGAAAATGTTACATATGTAGATTTTTTGTTCGCTACATTATGGTGGAAAGTGCCTGCCATATTAAGGCAGTTTCCCTTATACTTAGAAGTGAAGCTTGACATTTATTTTTTTGTTTGTTTGTAACAAAATAATGATACATAGACATGAAATGCGCATATTGCTTAATCATGCCAGTTTTTATGTGTGTGTGTGTGTTTACATAAAGATAACGGATGGTGTTCATCTGGCAGTTAAATACTCATGTGAGGGTTCTACCGTTTATTACATTAAGGAAGTATATACTTTCCATCGTAAATTAACATGAGTTACTTATCTGGCACAGGAAATTGCTATGTGTATTAAACGTGATGGTTGGTAGATAGGAGATTGTTACGCGGAAACGAATTAGCCTGTATGTGATTATAACATTCCTGAGAAGTTACTTAATAGTGGTACTTATCTGGCACAGGAAATAGAGTTTGTTTCTAACGTAACAACGGTCAAATTAGGCCAAAATTCAATACATATGGTTGGTCCTTTAATTTTCACTAACTACTCAATCAGAAAACTATTGCCTCAAGCATAATTTCCTACACTGAGCTGTATTCCCCTACAGAAATGAAAGGTGGTTTGTGTGTAGACGGAAAATGTGATATTCAGTTTAAATGACGTAGATGTAATGTACTGACACATAATTCAAATGCCATATAGATCTGGCACAGGAGATTCGTATTTCCCCTGTAGTAGTATTTTTTCCGTTCATGGAAACAGTAATGTGATATAAGAAATTCATTAATGGTACTTAACTGGCACAGGATGAAATAACATGTAAGTCCAGATGAAAAATATCTGGTCATTTTTGTGGATTATCCCGTTTTTCTACGAATATAATTCCAACGTGATCTTTAGTGTGGGTCTAACTTTAACCTTCATACGTATATCATGCATATACACATGCATGTGTGTATATATAGTGATATACTATTCCTTAAACATTATATGATGGTACTTATCTGGTACAGTAATGTGGAACCACTAACAAAGAACTTGTGTGACTTTAAGGTTTCAAGGTACCTTGAAATAGTGGATTTATTAATTCACCTATACAAAAATTATGCAGTGGTTCTTAACAGGTACAGGATAAATATAATCTTGCAAGATGCTAATATCCCTTCTCTCTTAAAGATAATAGCCTCACTTTATTTATATATACATAATATAGATATACTTCTCTTATGTATTTACTTATACAAATATTGCATATGTACATCGATATACATGCAAGTGCTTAAAGATCATTAGGTACTTATCTGGCACAGTGGTAAGTGCTGCCTATCAATTACATGGAACCACGCCATATCAACATTCCCTACTGCATGTAGATATATGTGTACTATATTTGTATGTGTTCATATAGACGTACACACACACACACACACATATATATTTACGTATATAGGGTGTATATATGTATGCATGCATGCATACGTATCCTTAAATACACTTATATAGACACATACATATATACTTATTAATATATTGAATTAGTATGAATGTCGACACTCCCTCCTGCATGGACATGATCGCCTCTCTCGCTTTATGCGTGTGTATTTGCATATATATGCATACAGATACACATATAGGGTGTGCATATATGTATGTGCACATATATATATATATATATTGATTTATATATTTATATGCATACTTGTATGTGTATATTCACTTACGTAGATATACATAGATTCCTGTTTGTATTAACATGTGCTTTAAGATCATAAGTTGGTACTTACCTGGCACAGGAACGTGGAACCAATAACCAAACGCTTGTGGATTCACTAGTTCACTAGTTCCTGTTTGTATTAACATGGGCTTTAAGATCATAAGTTGTTACTTACCTGGCACAGGAACGTGGAACCAATAACCAAGCTATATAGAATTTGTGCAGTGATTCATAACTTGCACAGGAGAAATATGATACCAGATGCTAATATCCCTTCTTACTTGAGGGTAATAGTCTCATTTTATTTATATATACACACACTTCCATTATGTACAGATATTGTATATGCACATAGCTATATATGCAAGTGCATAAAGATCATAAGGTGATACTTTTCTGGTACAAGAAAGTGTTTTTAATTTGCACAGGATTGATTGACTACTTAAACTTATCTGCCGCAGGCACAGGAGAAATATGAAACAAACTGCTAATATTCCTTCTCACTTAAATGCTTAAAGATCATAAGGTAATACTTTTCTAGCAAGGGAAATTGTTGCCTGTCGATTACATGGAACCATTTATGACTTAAAAGTAGATA